GCCTCAATTTAAAGTGCACTATTTCTGGCAGTCTGCAAAGGCCCTTTAGCCAACTAGCAGAAATACTTGGACCGAAGTCGATTTGAATGGGTTCACAACCAGTCTACAGGACGAACCGTGTTGGGGGACCACCGATGGTTAACATGGGGCTGAGATTCCACAGTTTCTCCGAAATCGCGAGCTAGTCCTCTCCCCCTTCGCTCTTTCCCGCGGAGGCTGCATCCGCACAGGAGAAATAATCCGGTTTGGCCCCACTTTAACTGCCACGGCTCAATGCTATGGAATTCTGGGAAGTGTAGTTTGTTACGGCACCCTTTGGAGCAGAACTAAGAAGTAGGGATTTATATTAGTGTTTCTGGCTTTTATTTGGTAATGCCCGACATGGTTTCTTGAACGTCCTACATTTTGTGGGCGCCTTGTCCTCCTTGTCTGGTCACCCTGCCTCAAACCCCTGGCGAGGTTCTTGAGGTAGGGTTTAGCCACGACGGCTGCCACAGGGATGGAGAAGGGACCGCAGAGAAGAAGAGGGCTTTGCGGGACCCGCGAGGTCATCCAGTCCAGCCAGACAAACTCCACCAAGGCTCAGCCCACCACCCCTGCCTGCTCTTGTAGCACCTTTGGGATTAAGTGGAAGAAAGAAGATGGCAACAGGAGCTTTCCTGGACTTCAGTCTACTTCCTCAGGTGCATCTGAGAAATTAGACTGAAGTCTACGGGCCTTTACAGACTGCCCGAACTAATGCAGCTTGAGGCCACTTTAACTGTCCTGGCTCAGTGCTAGGGAATCATGGAAATTGTAGTTTTTTCCGAGACATTTGAGCCTTCTGTATAGGAAACATTGGAGAATTCTTGCCCATAGAGAAACATAGGCAAGTATGCATGATTTTTCCATGGGGAGCTGCATTTCCCCATTAACACTAAACTCCTATGGGCCGGTATTCTCCAATGTTTCCCTATGGGGAAGTATCCTCCAGTGTTGATCTATGGGTGAGTATTCTCCTTGCTCATAGGGAAACAGAGCCAGCCTGACAGAGTGGTTTGAGGGCTGGACTGTGATTCTGGAGACCTGGGTTCGATTCCCAACTCGGTCATGGAAACCCACTGGGTGACCTTGGGCAAGTCACATCCTCTCAGCCTCAGGGGAAGGCAATGGCAAACCCACTCTGAACAAACCTTGCCAAGAAAACCCTGTAATAGGTTGGCCTTAGGATGGCCATAAGTCGGAAACAACTTGAAGGCACACAACCAACAAAATATTTTCCTATGTATCCCTATGGGCAAGTATTCTCCAATGTTTCCCTATGAGCAAGTACTGTCATTTGTTTTAGTACCTCCCGTCAAAGGAGGATTATTTCTTCAGTGTGGATGCAGCCCACGCCACTCACCCAGGCACTCTCTTCCTCCCCAGCCTCCAGTCCCACGCCCTTAACCACCCTGGCTCCATGCTATAGATTCCTGGGATTTGTAGTAATAGCACTAAAGGTAAAGGTATTCCCCATTGACAAGGTTGTCAAGTCATGTCTGACCATAAAGGGCAGTGCTCATCTCCATTACTGAGCCGAAGAACCAGCGTTGTCAGAGACTACTCTGTGATCATGGGGCCAGCATGATTGCACAGAACGCTGTTTACCTTCCCACCAAAGTGGTATCTATTTATCTGCTTGCATTTGTATGCTTTCGAACTGCTAAGTTGGCAGAAGCTGGGACTAGTGACAGGAGCTCACTCCATCATGCAGCACCCGGGACTCGAACTGCCAACCTGCCAAATGATCCTGCAATCAACAGAGTCAGCATCTTAACCACTTGAGCCACTGTGTCCCTTGACCACTTGACCAGCGTCTTCCCCACTTGAGCAATAGCAAGTGCATTTCTATACTGCTTATCAGTGCCCTTAAGCACTCCCTAAACGGTTTACTGTTAGGATTATGGTTTGGTTATTTTATGTGGTCAAAGGAGTTTAGCAGCTGTACTCCACAGGTATTTGGTAAAAATTCTAGACTAGAGATCATAGAGATAGACAGTGTTCTTGTGTAGAAGACACCACCCCTTCTCAAGAAATACATAGATTTACAAACAAGCATTGATGTCAATACGCCAACATTTACAATGTAAGTTAATTGCCCCCAACTCATTTGGGTACTCATTTTAGCGACCTTGGAGGAATGCTAGGCTGAGGCGACCCTGAGTCCCTGGCTGGTACTGAACTCACAACCTTCTGGTTTAATTCAAAGATACAGCCGTGTTAGTCTACAGAATTAGTATATAGAGAGATCTTGTAGCACCTTTGAGACTAACTGAA